TGCTGAATATACCACAAGTAATGAATACCACTGATGCCTTTTATTTAAAATTGACTTGCTCGTGTGTAATTTGGTTATTCCACATTCAGTGTTAATGCAGAAATAAGTTTGTTTCCAAATTAAAAAGCTCAAAATTGCATATATGTTGATAAAGAAAATGTGCAAATTTGCCCTCACTTTTTCAAAAAATATTATTTGGCCCGCGACTTCATCTCAGAGTTTAATTTCGTCCCAGTGTGAATTTGAGTTTGACACCCCTGATCTAGACCATTGTTTCACTTCATCTATAGGATGGCTTGGCAGGCTAATGTTGGACCTTTGTTTGCAGAAAGTTGTGAATTGAACCGAAATCGCAATTTCTGCTAGAAAAATTGCAATTCAACAGTTTCCTAAAATTGTTCAGCCCTAGTCCACTTCACTAAATGCAATGGGTGATTGGGTGATGATGAAACCAGCGACAACTAATCAATTTCCCTCTGGGATTAATAAAGTATTTTTGAATTGATTTGAATTGAACAAATTAAGTGTGAGGCATCTACTCCAGCAGCAAAATAAACTGTTTAAGATAACGTTAGCTTGATAGTTTAGCTTCCGTTAACATTGCTATCAGCTAATGGTGTGTTCACTTCCTCCTCGGAAATTCCAACTTCCGAGTAGGAAAAATCAACAGTTTGAAAATTAACGGTAAAAGGAATTATTGTTGGTGCCTGTCGTGGCGACAAACCATGAACCCGCTGATGGACACCGGAGATTTGGGATGCTGTCAAGCTGAAGAAAGAGTTCTACAGACTGTTTTTGACCTGTGAGACTCCAGTGGAAGCTGATAGGTACCGGCAATCACAGCAGAATGGGGCTCGGATTGTCGTGGAGGCAAAAACCCAGGTAGGGGACGAGTTTGATGAGACCATGGAGCAAGAATTTACGGCTTTGAGGACACTCTGGTCCAACATCCGGCGCCTCAGGAGGGGTAAGCAGTGCACTACCAACACTGTTTATTGTGGGGACGGTGTGCTGCTGACCTTGACTCAGGGCATTGTGAGTCAGTGGACGGAGTAATTCGAAGACCTCCTCAATCCCACCAGCATGTTTTCCAGTGAGGAAACAGAGTCCAGGGACTTTGGTGTGGACTCTCCAATCTCTGGGGCTGAGGTCACTTAGATTGTCAAAAAGGCCCTCTGTGACAAGGCTCCGGGGGTGGATGAGATCTGCCTTGAGTTCCTTATTGCTCTGGATGTTGTAGGGCTGTGTTGGCTCATGCGGCACTGCAATATTGCTTGGACGTCAGAGGCAGTTGCACTGGACTGGCAGATTTGGGTGGTCGTCCCCCTATTTACAAAGGGGGTTCGCAGGGTGTGTTTCAACTACAGGGGGATCACACTCCTGAGCCTCCCTGGTAAGGTCTATTCAGGGGTTCTGGAGAGGAGGGTCCATCAGATAGTTGAACCTTGGACTCAAGAGAAGCAATGTGGTTTTTGTCCTGGCCGTGGAACACTGGACCAGCTCAATACCATTAGGGTGGTCCTGGAGGGTCTGTGGGAGTTCGCTCAACCAATTTACATGTGTTTTGTGGATCTGGAGAAGGGGTTTGACTGCATCCCTCAGGACGTGATCTTTGGCTTTCGCTGGAACAGTTCACAGCCGAGTGTGAATCAGCTGGGATGAGAATTGGGTCCTCTGAATCTGAGACCATGGTCTTAAGTTGGAAAAGGGTAGAATGCCTTCTCCAGGTCAGGGATGAGGTCCTGCCCCAAGTGGAGGAGTTTAAGTATTTCAGGGTCTTGTTCACGAGTGAGGGAAAGCTGGAGAGTGAGATCGATAGGCAGATTGGTGCTGCATCTGCAATGATGCGAGCGTTGTACCGATCTGTTGTGGTGAAAAAAAGTGAAGCCAGAAGGCTAAGCTCTTGATTTACTGATTGATCTACATTCCTACCTTCACCTATATGGTCACAAGCTTTGGGTAGTGACCAAAAGAATGAGATTGCGGATACAAGCGACCGAAATAAGTTTTCTCCATAGGGTGGCTGGGCTCTCCCTTAGAGATAGAGAAAGGGTAAGAAGCTCGGTCATCTAAAAGCGACTCAGAGTAGATCTGCTGCTCCTCCACATCGAGAGGAGCCAGTTGAGGTGGCTCAGGATTAGGATGCATCCCTGGTGAGGTTTTCCGAGCATGTTCAGCTGCGAGAAGACCTAAAAGAAGACCCAAGACATGCGTGAGGATTAATGCCTCTCGGCTGGCCAGGGAATGCCTTAAGGTTTCCCCAGAGGAGCTAGCCCAAGTGGCTGGAAAGAGGGAAGTTTGGGCCACTGCTGCCCACACCGGCTCTGCATAAGGAGAAGAAAATTGATCACTTCAGAGTATAGAGTCCCAGTAATCTTTATCTCTTTCAGCATGGGCCCTAGCAAATCTTAGGTGTGCTTTTTCTGTGCCTAAAAGATGTGTAGGTTGCCAATGTTCATGTTCCTTTAAGATGCCGTGCTACAAACTGGATGGGATGGAGTCCCGTGACTTTGTGTAGTCACGGGACTCCATCCCATCCAGTTTGAAAAGACAAGGGAAAGACGGTGAGGAAATTTAGGATAGGTTGAAGCAGTGGGTGGGGCAGAAGTTGGCAGCAACCAATTCCAAAGTGTTGCCAAGCTGTTATTGAAGGATGTTATTGGGACTCGACTAGGGATGGGTACCTTTGACATTTGAATCGATCCGGTACTAATTCCTGGTACCTATGAATCGATACCGGTACTTAACGGTACCAATTTTCGATAATTTGAGTGTTTATTATTTTAATTCTATTTTATAATTAAATATATATTTTTCTCAATATATAACCATATTTGATATATATATCACGATAAATAACATTCATTCCTTTTGCCGTCCTTTTTCATTTGATTTTTCCTACTGGGAAGTTAGAATTTCCGAGGAGAGAGCGAACGCACCATTAGCTGATAACAATGGTAGCAATGGAAGCTAACATACCAAGCTAACGTTATCTTAAAAAGTTTATTTAGCTGCTAGAGCAGATTAAAACGATGATGCCTCACACTTAGATCGTTGTGGCTGGTTTCGTCTTCACCCAATCACCTGTCGCATTTAGTAAAGTGAAGCCAAACTTTAGAGCGCGTTCATGTTCTTCTAGTCGGGAATTCGGAGTTCCGAGGAGAAAGCGAACGCACCATTAGCGAAACGGAAGCTAACAAATCAAGCTAATTTTATTTACCTACCGGAGCAGATTAAGATGAGGATGTGTCACTTAGATCGTTGTCGCTGGTTTCATCATCATCACCCAGTTACCCATCACATTTAGTGAAGTGGACCCAAGCTTTAGCGTGCGTTCTTTCTACCATGCTGCTCTGCTTACAACTGACTCGCAGCGAGCAACGACATAATGCTCTTGCGCAGCTGTCTTGGCAAGTTCTCGTTATGATGGACGGGTACCGAAACGAGGCACAGTTTCAAATGAAGTGAATCGGTGCTCGGTTGGTACCTTAAAAAGTACCGAATTCGGTACCCATCCCTACACTCGACTAAATCCACCACTGCTCACGCTGTGTGTGTGTGTGTGCATGCGTGCACGTGCGTGTGTGCATGCGTGTTGATGTTGAGGCCATATTGCCCAGCCCTAAGGTAGACATGCTAGTGTAGAGTGGTAGACACTAGATTCTGTTTTCTTCATCAGTGCATGCTCTAAGGACACTTATCTACCTGAGAATTCAACTTCTGAAAACCAAGAAATTATTCTTTTGAACACATATCTGACAGAAGCCACAGCAATGATGCGTTTATTCAGTCCTTGTTTGCAATGGAATACTGAATTATTTTTCAATATCACTTTCATTAAAGCAGCTGACTTAATTGGAAAACTAATATTCACCTCTACACTGCAGTCATTATGTTTTCTTGTCTTTTTTTCTTTTTCTCCTCGTCTTAGATTGCAGTCGTGTGACAGAGATAATCGCATTTAAATGGTCTGATCTGTTAACAGCACTGTTGTTTTAGGTGACAAGCAGGTGTCTGTAGTCAGTCTGCTTTATTCAGCAATAGTTCTTAGAGCTGATGTCTGTTGTTCCTCCACATCTTCACATTTCCCATAAATGTTTCCTAAAGCGGTCGGTCTTTCACGAGTCTTTCAGCCAGCCTGGTACTATTTACTCTATAAAAGGAAAGATCTTAGGTGTGGCCACTTTGCCCCGTTTCTGCAATGAGAGGGAGCTTCTACATCAAAGACGAGCCTGTGGGTTATAATGGCTGCCCAGTCACATGAAGGTTCCCATCCCTCTTGGATTTTGTCCATGCTGCATGGATTTTCAAACTGAGCTGTGGTGCCTGCTCCTCCCTCGTCGTTTTTTCTGAGCCGTGGGTGGAAACACCACCCTAGGTTGGCCCTTGCCGTTATATCTGAGATGTGTAATTATGCTCTCGTACCCTTGCAACCAATTTAGCTTCATCCACATGGAGGCACACCCAGTCGTTCTCTGTAATAAGCAATGCAAATGTTTAAGAAAAAGTTTGGGTCAGACTTTGTGTAAATGCAACAGTTACAGTAACACATCAGCCGTCACTTTTTAATATTCAATTGGTGGATGAGCTTCACACATCATGTGGCAGAGGAAGGCATTAGAGAGCCCTTCAGCAGACTGTTAATAGATGGCTGTGTGGGTGGTAACGGGCACATTCAGTGGCGCCGTGGAGGGAGGTTAATGAGAGCAGCATTCTAGCGGCGCTGCTGCTGTTCACTTTCAAATCTTCAATCCTCAGAGTGTGAATTGTAATAATGTCCCGGGGAGTGGGTGGGCTGACAGATAAAACCATCACTTCAACGTGGCAACTGATTTGCATTTTCTGAGCTGCAATGGAAAGAAATGGACGGCTTTAATCGGTTGGATGTTTGTATCCAGAACAGTTGATGGCAATGCTTCCTGCTATTTCTGTCTGTTCTGTTTTTCTGTGATTTGATGGACTGTCTGTCTCACTCTGGGTATTGTTCTGCTTCTGTGCAGGAGAGAAGCCTTTCATTTGTGAGATCTGTGGGAAGAGCTTTACCAGTCGGCCCAACATGAAGCGCCACCGCCGCACCCACACAGGCGAGAAGCCCTACCCCTGTGAGGTGTGTGGCCAGCGCTTCCGGTTCTCCAACATGCTCAAAGCGCACAAGGAGAAGTGTTTCCGGGTCACCAGCCCCATCGTTCTGCAGACTACTGGACCTCCTGTGCCTGTTCGTCTCTTTTCAAATGCCTTCTCCTCTTCCTCCTCCCCCTCTTCCTCCAGCGCTGCTCCCGGATCCTCAGCCCCGGTTCCCGCCACCACTTCAACATCTCTGGGCCTTAACCCCACAGCGGGGTCTATTCCTCCCCAGGGCCCAGTTGGACACACGTTTTCCCACATCCAGCTCCCCTCAGCTGCCTCTCACCATCATTCCCACCCCCCCACCACTCAGCAGCACCTCTCAAACCCACCCCAACAGGGTCCGCCTCACCCACACCACCACTTGGTCGTACCCCCCATCTCTCACCTTCCCCCTCCTCCAGCACTTTTTAAGAGTGAGCCCCTAAACCACTGTGGGCATGAAGACAGCAGCTTCCTGCACCACATGACCCCTCACGACAAAGGCCCCGGAGCCCCGCAGCACCACTGAACCGTACCCCTGTAGGCAGCGCCTTGCCTCGTTCCTCGTAGTTAGGCCTCAGTCTCCTGTCTGCTGGAGCCACGTTGGCGGGAGCAGCACATGGAGAGCAGCGGCGCCAGTATTCCAGTGTGTTACTATAAGGCACCGCAGCGGGATGCTGTTCTGGACGTGCTGGAAGGTGACGGCAGTGTAAATCAGAACGGGAACATTTGTTCTGTCAGACAAGCATAATCTTTCTGTGTAGAACCACCTTGCAGTTTTAAATCAAGCTAAACGCACTTCTGTACGCATAAACGATTCAGACTTTTGCACCCGCTGAAGTGAAAACCCACTTTTAAAAAAACTGGTCAGCCGACGGAAGATTTAACAGCCTCTATAAATTCATCATGAACCTTTTCCTCAGCAGGAAACCACGCGTATCTTCATCTTTGTCGATGGCTGTAAAAGTCTCTCATTTTCATCAAAAGCTGCTGATGAAAGTCGGGTGATGTGTAACCCAGTTTTCACAGATCATCCGAGACATTTTTAATGGACTTTCCTCTTTTTGTCAAATCTGGGTCATGGATTGGTGAGGACTGTCTTTGCAGCTCCTTTTCATAGCAATACTCCGCCTGTCCTCCCAGCTGTACAGCAGGAACCTCCAGGGAGTCGCAGAAATGTTGAATGAATGTTGCAAGTGGTTCCACCCAGACCTGTTCTAGTACAGAGGCTACGACTAAAGGAATTTGGGGCAATTTTGATGCGTTCCTTGTTGAAAGTCAGAAATAATTACTATTATACTGGTTGCACTCGTTCGTCATCAGCCTCAGCTCAGATAAATAGCTATAAAAGTAGACATGAACTGCAGTGACATGTAGAAGGCTGTCAGGGGACAGCAGCGACACACTTTGGTCCTGGCTGTGCGTAGCCTACCCGTTAGCGCATCAGTCATAAACGACAAAAATACTCTCTGAACAGGAATTCATCTGTGACGAGTGCATTAGTAATTATTTATAGCTTTCCTACAGAAACACACTGATAATAGCCTTGAAGAGTTTGTGTCAGAGGGCCAGCGGCAGTGCTGCGTAACGTCACGGGCCACCGTAAGAGATTTTTTCTTTTGTATACAGAAAAAAGATTTTGTAAAAGTTGAATCTTGTCTGAGATTCTTATGGTAAAATGGTGCTTTCCGTTCCGTTATATAGAACATTTCCTAACATCCACGTAAAGACAGAGCAGTTCATTGAGTCTGATGGAACTTCAGCCTGGATCTCCTGCTATAGATTTTTGACTCAATATTTTTGGATCAAACCAACTTTAAATCAGCAGGACTTGCGCTTATATTTGTGTTAAGCACTCGAACAACAAAGGTCCTACGGTCACTGATTTGATTAGTGACTCCTCAGCTTTCAGATTATAGAAGACTAAATACTGCCACTGTGAGGGGCCGGACACGTGGCCCTGTCTGGTCTTTACCCCACCTCCCTTCGCTGCTGTCGAAACAATACGGGTTTCCATGTCAAAGGTCATCTCACACATACACACACACAGTACACACAGCTGGGACCTTTTTCATCGACGTTCTTAACAGGATTTTATGCATTATTCCGCTCAGCCTCTATTCCACACTTTGGTGTGGGGCAACACGGGCACGTCTGTCACCTGTTGAATGTCGCCTAAGCCAAACGTCGGCTAATGAGTCCTTTTACGTTCTTTGAGGATGGACTCCGTTTTAAGCTAATGAATGGTTCTGTTGTGTAGATAATACTGTTGAGCACATGGATGAGAAATGTGGAGATAAAAAGCAGAGGTCATGTCACTTTTGTTATGCGCGAGGTCAGACGAGTGCTAGGAAAGACATTTGTTCATTTAAAGACCAACAGTGTGCGTGGGGTTTTGTTTAAAAGGAGAATTTGGTCTGAACTTTGGGTGATTCTGACCAACTCTGTGTGGGTGGGCGATATAGCAAATATATATCACAATTAGGGTTAATTTGCTTTGAAAACGCCTCTAAAAGAAGAATATTACAGAAAATTGAGGCCAAAATCAGTTTGTTCTAGTAGCAACGGATATGGTTTCTACATTAACAATGTAATCCTCGTTAAAGAGGCTGAGAATTCAGCTGCATGATTAACAAACCGTTTCATACATCGTCACATTTAACCATTAGCAGCAACATGCATGGAAAAGCCAGCATTATTTATAGCAACAGCAAATTATGCAGTGATTTTTAGATTAACGTGAGGAAATTAAGCATAGCCTTTTTGCTAAGAAGCGCTAATGCTAACGTGTCACCACAGCCGAACTGGTGTGAATCACTAATTATTAATTACTTATTTTCATGGATGCGCATTAGGACCCAGCCAGAAGTATCCAGGTGGAAACGACCCTTAAGCACGCTTCTGCAGCTTTCGCTCAACACTTTCAAGCTTTTCACGGTTTCACGTTGTCGTGTCACCCACCCCGGGAGAGTGTGTTTATGTTTGCGTGCTTTAGCCAGACCCTTGTACCAAACGCTGCTCACAGTGTGCCCCAATAACGTGTGTATTTAGGGGAGTACCTGAGATGGCTGTAAATTAGCCCGTTTCTGACATTTAAGTTCAGTAGTTTAGTTCCTTTGTTGGGATGTCTGACCCGCCATTTCTGTGGGTCTTAATACTGCTGCAATATTTGTCGTCATCCGGTCCCGTTGGGTTCAGAATGTTGTATTATGGTTATTTAGTTTTTATTCTAAGCCTTTTAATTTTGTTTGTATTCTCTGCACTTTACTGCTGCGTGGGTGAGGCGCAGAGAAAAGGGTGAGGGGGGGCTAGACGATGCATTGTGGAGCAAAACGCAGTCACGGCTGCAGGTGAAGAAGGATGGAGGCGATTCCTTTAGATGGATGTTATTTTGGCAAGGAAAGGAGGAGAATCCTGGGTGGAGGCAGGTGGTGTTGAAGGGACCAGAGCTAATTGTGGACATTTCTTTTAAAATATGTTTAAATTCACTTTGGTTTTACTTTTTTTTCCCTACTTAAATATAATTAAACACGGACCTCCCTAAAAGTAAAAGCAGTGTTCCTCCGGCTTTGGAAGCTTCACACAATCTCCTCCATACAACGTCTGAAATACTTTTTTCACTGCTTCATGTCCCATTTTATTTCTGTTGGCAACATAATTCTCCTCCTCCTTTCTTTGTTTTCATAGAACGCACTTTCTACTAAGATCCTTGTAGTCAAGAAAAAAATAACATGTATATTCTTTGAAGATGTTTTAAAATCAATCTACTTTCTCCTTTGTACTTTTAACCACTTTATGTAGCATCACGTATTTTATTATTGTATCTGGTACAAAATGTGCAGCTTTATAATGTCCTGGTTTGTCTTTTTTGTATGTGATCTGGAGATGGAGGAGAAGTGGAAAACGTTGGGCCTTTTTTTGATAATGTACATTTAACTGACTGCTAACTTTGAGAAGTAAAAACAAGTCGCCAAGAGGGTCGTGTTTTGTGACTGCTTCCCTGTAATCCTTTCATTTAGCAGGAAACTGACGAGGAAATGGTTGTGCACAGCATGTTTTTGGTCTCCTGTACTTTTCTGGGAAGGATGGATTATAGCGGATTGTTGCAGCTGCTTTAGGTTTGATCTGGGTGTAACATGTTATCTAACTGCTGAGCGCACCGGACCCTGAGGCCTCTGATTTTCAGGGCATCTGCGGGTCCTTAAAAAGTCTTAAATTAGCTTTTCCAAATTTAAGGTCTTAAAAATCCTTAAAAATGACAAATAATCCTTAAATACAGCTTTCAAAGGTCTTAAATGACCAAAGACCCAATAAACAAGGTTCTTTTATTTCTATAAAATTTTCCTGAATTTTTAGTTAGTCTTCAGCATTTTTTGTGTACGATGTTGGCAAAAGCGGAACCATACACATTCAGTTGGTTGTGAAGGGGGACTATTTTTAGATGAGCACCTTAGCTGGTTAAGCTAGTGGGAGCTTCTGCCATGGGGAAGTGCAAGTTTAATGGTAACTGGATGGCTAATCCCACGTTCGCGACGTGGTTAGCACCGGTTCCATGCAATAGCTGGAAATTATAGCTTAAATTTAATTTTAAAAAATAGCTTAAATTTAATTAAAATATAGCTTAAATTTAATTTAAAAAATAGCTTAAATTTAATTAAAAATAGCTTAAATTTGGTCAAAGTGGTCTTAAAAAAGGTCTAAAGTCTTAAATTGGGCTCCCTTACACCAGCTGATACCCTGATTTTTGCTCTTTAAAGAGCAAGTCACCCCCTACCAGAGTCTAACTCCACTCCCACTTGAAAAATGCGACAAATGCTGTTGCCAGGTAGACCGAGAGGGCGGAGCTGCTAACAAATACACACACACACACACAGGCTCACAACAGCATTGTGACATCATAATGTACCAGTTTACTTCACAGCACACCTCTTAGCCAATAGCAGTGGCAGATTTAAATTCAAATACAGTGCAGAGCTTTTACCTGACAACGGCACAACACTGACAGTTTTAGGCAGAATATTTAAATTTTAACTAAGATGCACTGAAGTGCCAAATTATTGACGACACGTGTCTGCAGCACGATTAGACACTCGCTTATTTAGTTTATCAGCAAAAAAAAGTTGATTTGGGGGTGACTTGCTCTTTAAGGTTCTAGTAATGTTTTAAGTTCTTTTCAATATTTGTTTTCTTTTGTGACATTTTAATATTCCCACAGGTTAAAAAAAAATTTTAGATATAAAAATGCGGATTTCTCCATACGTCTGCTACGTGTTAATTCTTGACCTCCTCTTTCAGGTGTTTACCGCTGCCTCCTCTATCAGGTGAATTTTAAAATGGCACTAATGAGTCACGTAATCCTGGAAAGGTAGCAGAACAGCCCCATGGGTAAAAGGAAGAGTGAGTCACCGTTGGTGAGTGGGTGGTCAGGTACCACGGCTCACTTCATGAGCAGAGGAGATAATAACACGCCGTCTGCACGTCTCCATCCCCGTTTGGGTTTGAAAATAGTCGGCCTCCCCAGCTGTTAGTCATTACGCCTTCTGGTGTCGAGGAGGGGGAGGCGGTGTCTGTCAGCGGGCAGATAAAGAGAGGAGAGCTTCTTGTTGTTTTTCAGGCTCCTCCGAGAGTTGTGGTGCTCTTCATTAATCTGTGTACTTGCAGGGTTTTATTGAGACCGGTGTCGTGGAGAAGGAAGCAGCCAGTGTGCACTCGCTGGTGGCAACACCGATATTCCACTGTAGTAAAGCCATGTTTCAGATGTGAAACTGCAGCGAGTCCCTTCAATGCTCGCTTTGTTTACAGGAGTTCAAAGGTCAAGATGTTTTCCCTCCAAACTTACTGTGCAATTAGGATTGTGCTTCAGAACTGATTTTAAACCCTTTTTCATGCATACTGCTTCGTCCTCTAACTCCTTCCAAGTGGTGGAGATCATTTATTTCTGCTGAGGTGAACCATTTCCCCCCATGGAGCAATGATTATGTTTTAAGGAACATTTTCAAAGGTTTAAAGCTGAATTTTACTATATTTTACTTCAAATATTAATATGAATAGAAAATTTTAATTTTAATCTTAAAGTTGAATCTAAACATTAATGACATTTTAAAATAAAATGATATCTTAATGTTTGGAATCAAGTCAAAATATGTGATTTTAAATCCACAGTTGAAAATGGAATGATTAGAATATCGTGAAAAGTTAACTGATGTCCGTAATTCGGCTTAGAAGATGAAACAAATACATGAGATGGACTGATTAAAGGCAAAGCAGTTATTTCTGTCTTTATTTATAATTGTGATGATTGTGAGTTACAGCTTATGAAAACTCCACATTCAAACCCTCACACAACTAGAATATTATATTAAATTTAAAAAAAGCAAATATTTTAAATGCAGAATGTTCGGCCTCTAATAACCGTAGACACATTACTCCGTATTGGTTTGGGCCTCTATTGCTTTTAGTGTAATAACCTTTTGCATATTATTCTAATGTTTTGGTTTTTGTTTCACCTGCAAATGAAGAAATAGAAAAATGTGGTTCCAAAATAAATATTTAATCAAAATACTCAGACAGGTATGGGAGGTGCCTATCAAAATAAACCTTAGTGGCCTAGTGGTGTCCACCCTGGGACTGGGAGACGTGGGTTCAAATCCCAGTTGGGTCATACCAAAGACTTTAAAAATGGGACTCAATGCCTCCCTGCTTTCCACTCAGCATTAAGAGGTTGGATGGGGGGGGGGGGGGGGGGGGGGTGTTAAACCACCAAATAGTTCCCAAGTGCAGCTGCAGCTCACCGCTCCCCACCGGGATGGGTCAAATGCGGAGATGTCATTTCACTACTGTGATGATAACTGCAGGGATTTTAAAAGCAAGGTGTTTTTGAGTTGAGCCATGGGTCCTTCATCAGTGAGCAGTGAGAACTCTGACCGGAACACAATCTTCTATTGTGTAATGGACCCAATCGCATTTCACGCAGGATCTCTCCACCTAGCTTTTTTTAAATATTTTGGCTGCCTATTTACATTTTATAGTATTGAATTTATATGCTGGCAAAAAAAAAAACTTTAAACATGCCTCATTTACCTTTCAACATCAGCACAGGAATACATTTTACTAGTAAATATACATATTTATTTATTTATTGGAAATGTGCTTTATTTTACAGTTATTTGGATTTGTGTCTGAACATTTAGATATTGAAATTTCTTAGATCTTGTGAAAAGCAATTTTTAAATGTATTACTTTACAATCAACACCCCATGCATTTTATCTTTTATTGTTTGATAGGTTTTCAGATGTGTAGGCTGCATCTTTCTGTGTTTTTGTATTTTCTTCTGTTTTCACCTCCTGGTTCTAGATTGTAGTCTCAGATTAGAAAAGCCTGACAGCACTTCTCCAGATGAATTCAGGAACAGGATTTTCACTTTCAGTCGTGCCTCTCTCCATTTTTCCATCCCTCCTTTACCTCCTACAGTCCCCTTTTATCTCTTGAAAACGCCGTGAACGCGCACAGTAGGCTGCTATTAAATGGGCGGACTTGAGTGCGCGGGCACGTCGCGGGCTCTGGTGGTTTTGTGCGGAACATAAAAGTGCGTGAAGCACTCAAAGTCCGTCTCCAGCGCTCCCGCTGACCGGATCGGACCGGAACCAACCGGTGATGCTTTTTTATTTGGATTTTCGAATTCTAGCCTAAATCTGAGTTTAATGGTTGAACAATGTCACTTAATTGGGAGGGGGGTGTTAAAAAAACAGGTCGAATTTGTGGAGTAAAAATCTGGCAGCGCGGCAAGTTGTTTGGAGAATATCTCACTTGGATGTATTGTCTGCAAATCTTGTTTTACTCGAATGTTAACAGGATCTTGTTGGTATGGCAGCCGGGTTATACGACCTAGGATTAAACGGGTTTAGTAACCTAGGATTTATACAGAAAATCAACATTTTTACCTAACGAGACAATAAACATTTGTGCTGGATTTACAATCAGGTTTTTGTAATTCGATCGTTTTTGCTGCACACGGATCAGGGTTGTGTTTGAGGCTTTTTGTTGTGTTTTTTGCACACAGGCTCAACCTGCCGCACAGTTTGAATGCGCCTGGCTGATTCGGGTCTGGAGTTCCGCAGGTCCGGTGACTATCCAAGGCATGCATGATGACATCTTCTGATGGAAATGTGGCTGATAATTGTGTTTGATTATTCTGCATGGTGTCTGATTTTTGATTTGTCTGCTCAGTCCTGCTGTAGGGCACCGTTTGAGTACACTGTAAAAAAAACTGTCAAGTTTACGATAAAATACCGGCAGCTGTGGTTGCCAGGAATATACCGAGAAAAAATGTGTAATCTGTAAACGAAAATACGGTATGCTGGTTTTGTAATCCTAAATTTTACAGTAGACAATGTTTTTTTTACCAAAATCATGATAGGAAAAAAAAATAATATATTTGTCAATTATACAGTAATTTAATGTAAAAAAATGCAACTTAACATAGCTTTTTACGGATTTTTACAGTTAAAAAAGGTTATATTATATTAATATTTACATTGATTTGTTGTTAATTTAACAGTAATAGGATGAACCTTATTATGGCAAATAACTGTAAAAATAAAAATATGGTAAACCTTATTAAAACCTTTGACAATAAAAAACAGTGATACTGTATAAGAAATTACAGCATTTTATTTTTACTTAATACATTTTACGGTAAATTCCTGGCAACCGCAGCTGCCGGTATTGTACTGTACATTACCCATACCGTACGGGTGTCTGACTCATGGACATAATTTTCACTTTAGAAGTGTGTGTGTGTGTGTGTGTGGGGGGGGGGGGAGTGGGGGGGGTCCTTACATTATGCTCTAATGGGAAACAGACTTCAACACAAATGGTTGTTTTCCGCTTGATCCATAGAGCTCAACCAGTGTCAGTTTAATATAGCGTAATATTGTTTTTGGATGGTAAAAAGTACAGGGGTGAAAACTTGACTTTGGAAAAAGTGGGGAGGACATGTCCCCCTTGTTCTCCCCCCCCCCCCCCCCCCCCCCCCAATTACGTCCATGGTCTGAATTAAGACAGTTTTTACCAGCAAGATGCAATGTTAAGGGCAAATAAATAATCTTGTGTAAAACCTGTAGCTATAGTTGGATTTAAAACCTAAAGCTGCTTTTCAATGTTGAAATATAAACATTATGAATTTCATTTCAATATTTAAATGTGTAAAATGGAAATACCCAACCAACGGACAAATGGTGAAGAGCTCCATCTAATGCCTGAGACTGCACAAATTAAACATGGATCAGTTACAGTCCCTGTCTAGGTTCTGCAATTATAAAAACCCTAGTTAAGCAGAGTCACAGAATCTCACCACGAAAGAAACTTTATTCAACCCACTTTTATTTTGGTGGTTTATTTTTATCCTATATGTTTTTGTACTCATGTCATACATACCCATTGATACACACACACACCTGTGTGTGTGTGTGTGTGTGTGTGTGTGTGTGTGTGTGTGTGTGTGTGTGTGTGTGTGTGTGTGTGTGTGTGTGTGTGTGTGTGATGGCAGCACACAATCTAAATTGGTACTAAATACTTAGTTTAAAGTTTTCAAATTTATAATCAGATTTCACATTTAGCTATAACTCATGTTTTAGATTGAATTTTAAAAATCAACATTTCACCGTATATTTAGTTTCGAAATATTTAAGTCAAATGTTATATGTTCAAATTTGATTTTAAATCTTTAGGTTCACTCAAACGTGGCTACATCTAAATATATTTGATCTAACTTAATATATGTAGATTATTTTCAGAAAAGATGTAAAACTATATTTGTATTCTAAAACTGTTCTTTTATTCATTATCATTTGAAGCATATTGCCGTAAAATATAGCAGTTAAGTTTTTTATGTAACCTGTTACTTTAGAACCGGAGCCCAATAATCATGGATGACCTTCCAAACAGCAGAAGGTTATTAGACCTTTGAGGTAAAGCATGCCTCCTCTGGGCTGAACCGGCTGCTGATTGGCTGTCTTCCTCTTCATGCACTCTCTTTTAAATCGATTAATTAATGATTGTTTTTTTCTGCCTCCCAGATGCTCATGTGTTTTGTGTACTGATATTTAACAGAATCATCCAAAGCCTCCACCTTACAGTGGACTGTGGAGATAATTGATGCCTCTTGATTCTTGTGTCAGACATGGGGGATTCAATCTTCAACTGCTGTTATGTCCCACCTCAACCTCCAGGTGAGGAAGAACCTCTCAGGCGTGCAGACATCATGGCATCCAGTTCTGCCCGCATCCCCTCAGACAAGCGCTTCATCATCTTCTTTGACTTTGACGAGACCATCGTGGATGAAACCAGTGATGACATGGTGGTGCAGGCCGCTCCGGGTCATCACCTGCCCGGCTGGCTGAAGGATACCTACCAGCCCGGCCGCTACAACGAGTACATGCAGCGCGTTCTGGCCTACCTGGCGGAACATGGTGTCACAGAGAGCGACTTGCGCAGCATCATGGAGAAGATCCCTGCCACCCCGGGGATGCTCACCCTCTTCCAGTTCCTCCGTGCCCGGCCTTCGCAGGACTTTGAGATAGTCCTGGTGTCTGACGCCAACACCTTCTTCATCGAATCGTGGCTCAGGCGCTTTGGGTTCCGTCAGCTCTTCCACCGGATCTTCACCAACCCGGCCACGTTTAACAAGGACGGTCGGCTCGTCATGAGGCCTTTCCACTCCCACGACTGCCTGCGGTGCCCCGATAACATGTGCAAGCAGGCGATCGTGAGGGACTACGTGGCGCGCAGGACACAGGAGCGAGGCCGACCCTACCAGAGGGTCTTCTACGTGGGTGACGGAGCCAACGACTTCTGCCCAGCTCTTTCCCTTGGGCCCCGAGACATAGCCTTCCCACGGAGGGACTTCCCCATGCACCGGCTGATCACGGAGACCCACGAAGCCATGCCTGGGGAGTTCAAAGCTGTGACAGTGCCCTGGGCCAGCGGGGAGGATGTGGTGAAGCGGCTCAGGAAACTAGTGGCAGAGTAGGCCAAAAGGGGGTTACGACAGCCAGCAGACACGTTCAGTCATATTCTCAGGTGAAATCTCTGAAATGACTGTCCAAGGCAATAAAACTAGAAGCCTAAAGTTAACGAAGCACAAGTTTGAATAACCTACATGTGCCTGGGTTCAGCTTCAAGATCCAAAGGTCAGAAGAACCTGTCGTAGTCCGGGAAACCTCAGCCTCGTAACCCAAAGTCAAATTCTGTCAAATCAAGATTCTAATCTAGTACCAGAAAGTTTAAAGTCAAATTAAGCCTAGAACTTGAAAGTATTCGCGTAATTATCGCATAGATCTGTTCTGTTGTCTGCAAATGCTGTTCTATACGTCAATAAATATTTGTACTTGCAATACTTTATAATTCAAAACGTTTAATTCATTCCTCTGCAATAACTTGTTTTTCTTACAAATTGCACGTTTTGGGTATAAACAGGCAAGTAAATTACTACCTATACAGTCCATAGAAATGTATAAAGAAAACGTATGTTTAAATGAGTTCAATGGTTAAATATAGGGGCTGCATAGTGGCGCAGTGGTTAGCACTGTTGCCTCGCAGCACGAAGGTTGCAGGTTCGAAACTCGGCTGCGGCCTTTCTGCGTGGAGTTGCGTGTTCTCCCCATGCATGCGTGGGTTTCCTACGGGTACTCCGGTTTCCCCCACAGATCACAACATGCCCTATAGGTTGTAAATTGTAAGTCGCTTTGGATAAAAGCGTCTGCTAAATGAATAAAAACATAAAACATATGTTTCTAGTTTATATAGGATGATATAGTCACAAAATGTGTAATAGAAACAAAGCCAGAGGCAATGGGCAAATCCATGTTTACCAGTGTGTCTGTGAAAGGTTACTTTACAAACGTATTTGTACGTATCAAAGTGTGTTTCCTGTTTTTGATTTGTTTTTTATTGTGTGGGTTCGACCTACTAATAAAATGACACCAGCAGGAATAAAGCCATCAACTGAAACCGTCTGTCTGGTTTATTAACCCCCCCCCCCCAATGATAAAAGACCCACACTTGCATCGCACCTTTACAGTGTATCGTTCATCCATTCACACACCGAAGATGAACTAGTGATGATGCATGTCATCAGATCAGTCATTTTAAATGGGATCTTTGGGCACTTTGTCACTATTACTCTGTTACAAAGAAAGCTTCTTCTCATTAATTGAGTCTAATCTAAAAAAAGTACCAAACGGACATTAAACGGTGCTTTTGTACAAAAGAAAGAAAAGCCCCAAACTCAGCATTGAGTAAAACCGGTCTCTTGTAAGACTTTTGATGGATTTTTTTCTTTTACTTTAGACTTTTGCAGTTATTCTGCTACTGATGTTTAGGCGTTTCTAACGTCCTTCTGTGTTTTATTTAATTGTAAGCTTGCACTGAGACAGAACTGTGATGATCAAGTAAAACTTGAAAATCGGTGGCAGAAGGACCTCAAGTAAAAAAATAATCCCTGAAGAAGTTCAGAAAACAAATCAGCTGAACAAGACAGATGGAGGGTTTCTAGGAAACATGACCCCTTAGAATAAAACTCTGAAGATGTTTTAAAAGCGTTTGCACCGAATCTATGAAGATATGCTACTTGATTGTAATGATTTTAGCTCATAGAAAATTATTCGCTTATTGCTACAAGTTCTGTAGTCATTTTGTCCAAATTCTCAAATCATAGATGTTTAGTGCCACCTTGCAGTTATTTCTTGCAACAACACATTTGAAATGTTTGGCCTGGGCTCTGCGGTATCTTAGCTGTTCCCAGATCTGCACTTTTCTGGACTGAGATGTCTGATGTTTTTCCTGGGATCTGCCTAAGCTACTCCTCCAGTCTGGGGCTTACTTCCACAAGTGTTCCGATGACCACGGGCACCACCGATGTCTTCACTCTCCAGACTTTCTCAGGTTCTTCTTTGAGGCGCTGGCACTTCTCTAGTTTGTCGTGTTCCTTTTTCCTGATGTTGCATCACTTGGTATTGCCACAATAACCACAACGGCTGTCCTCTGTTGATTGTCCACCACCGCAATGTCTGGTTGGTTCTCCATCACCATTTTGTCAGTCTAGATCTGGAAGTCCCACAGGAGCTTGGCTCTTTTGCTCTCAACCACCTTAGGGGGTGTTACCCACTTTGACCTTGGGGCTTCCAGTCCATACTCTGCCCAGATGTGTCTGTACACAATTCCAGCCACTTGGTTGTGGCGTTCCATCTTTGTTTTCCCTGCCAGCATCTCACGCCCTGCAGTTATGTAGTGAATTGTCTCAGAAGCCTCTTTGCATAGCCTACACCTTGGGTCTTGCCTGGTGTGGTAGATCTTGGCCTTTGTTGCTCTGATGTTCAGGGCCTGTTCCTGTGCAGCCACGATGAGTGTCTGCTGTCCTTCAGACCAGCTCTTTCTAGTCGTAGGATTTCGTGATATCTGCCACTTCGGTTATCTGTCGGTGGTACGTCCCATATGTGTTTGTCCTCCCGCGATGGTATTTCTGGTGTCTCCTCCTCTTTTTGCCATTATCTGAGACATTCACTGGCCACATCATCCGTTGGGGCCTTATCCTTGATGTGCTTATGCATCATGGATGTTTCATCTTGTACACACACAAACACTTGTCTGTCTTCCTTTCATAGTGAAGACCCTCCATTGACTTCCATTCATTTTTGTGACTCCAGTATACCGATTCAGGGGGATGTCACTGAGATACATCTACTCCATCTACTCCACCTAACCAATACTGATCTATTCCTAACCCTAACCGTAACCTTAACTAAAACTTAATTCCGACCATACCTCTAAAACCAACTGGTAAGCTTCTAAAAAGGTGAGGACCAAAAAAATGTTGTCACTTTGAAAAATGTCCTCACATTGTAGGGAAAATGGTCCTCACTATGTAGTATGTACAAGAACACACACACACACACACACACACACACACACACACACACACACACACACACACACACACATTTAATTTTTTACTTTGCTGTTTCACATCTTAGCCACTGGAGGGCAGAAACTACTCTGTTACAACTTTCAAGAACCAACGTCTTTATTTATTCTTTGTTTTGTTTATTTATTTGCCAGGCTAAGATGAAAACTACTCGGGATTTTTATTTTGTTTTAAAGTTCTATTCAAAAAAGCAATAACGAAGCCCGGGGATGAGCGTTTTATGGTCTTTAAGCTTGTTGCAGTGATTTGTTTGTTCAACAGGTGGAGACGGTGGAGACTGACGTTGAAATTAAACAGTAGAAGAAGAAAACCGGCAGTGACGTATTGTGCGCATGGCGCTTAATGAATGATTTTGTCTCCTTTCAAAACCAGCTTTTTATCGTTTTGGAACAAACATTTCATTTGCCAAATTTGCAGTAGATTACAAGTAAGTATATTTAGTTTATATTTAGTTACATATGAGTTACAGCTTTGTTCTGGAGTTTGATATTAGCTGAAGGATCAGTAACGTAGCTCCGACGTCACTGCGGTCCGTTTATTTTGTCGCTTGTTAGCCTGCTAGCATGCTAAAGTGTGGCTGGATTATGTGATCAAAACGAGATACCTCGGATTAAGCTCTTTGGATAGTTTGCTATAAGGTACATAAAACGTACAGAATGCAGTTGAAAAACGCCGCATTTGCATTATGAAGTATTGGCATTAGCTGCAATAACAGATGTCAGACTGTCTCTCACTTCTCCCCTGCTTCTCAGTTGTTATGTTAAAATAACCACAACGTGTATTACTCGTAAAAATCCGATCTCATCTCATCTAATCTGATCATCAGCCCTTTAGAAGATGGAGGCAGATTTGTATGACGAGTTTGGCAACTACATCGGTCCAGAGCTGGACTCTGACGATGATGACGATGAACTGGATGCAGAAGACAGAGATGTTGATGAGGTACTTTATACACTTGTACACACTTTGTAGTACTTGTATGTTTAGGGGTTTGTGCTCATCTGTCATGTACTCGCATTGGACAGGGAGATGATGATGATGATGATGATGAGCATGGAGATGCTGATGAGGATGTCCCCGGCATGGAGGTGGTCCTGCATGAGGACAAGAAGTACTACCCCACAGCAGAGGAGGTTTATGGCCCAGAAGTGGAAACTATTGTCCAGGAAGAAGACACGCAGCCTCTCACAGGTTAGTGACCTCCTTCCACATGCTGATTTACAGTCGTGTGCAGTTGGCTTGAATGTGAGGTACATTTATGTCAAATATTGGGAAAAATGTACATACTTTCCATCAATGTTATTTAAAAATGAACAATTTTAGCACATTTACATGTGAGGCAGCTCAATCTGAGCTGAGTGGGGTAGTTGAGATCCCACACCCACTACAGACCGACAGGTTGATTAAAGTTCATGCATGCCTGCTAGTGGGAGCCTGATTGGCACGGGTACAATCTGCCAGTGGCATCTTAGTGAATGCGTGTTTCACTATGGATGCAGTGGGTAAACATCTACGCTGACTGCAGTTCGGACCGGCCTTGAGAGCGAGATGACTGAGGAGGAGCTTCATGCCAGAGTATTCAAAAGCAACACTGCTCATGCCAACTTTTGTTTACTAGTGACGCCTAAAGCTGGATTTATACTTCTTCATCTATGTCGGTACGGAGACACGCAACGCCTTTATGCGTCAGTGCAAGGGTTCTCCGACAGGCTCACAGAGGGTGACGGAGACACGCCCAAAATTTTAAACATCCGTCGAAAGTGATGGAGACCGCCAGCTTGTGATTGGTCAGGACGTCACTTCCTGTAAATTTGTCAACAACTCCGTTAAAGAGTAAAAAGATATTTAACGGCAGACCCACTGGTTAAAAAGCTATGTAGGGAACAGGAAACAATATGTACAAGTAAATGAATACATATCTGATTTGATGGATATAGCTTGTGGAGTACCTCAAGGTTCAGTACTGGGACCAAAATTGTTTATTATGTACTTAAATGATATCTGCAGAGTATCACAAATTTTAAAGTTTGTAATATTTGCTGATGACTCAAATTTACTGTGTTCAGTTGTGGAATTGCCACAGGTCTTGGAGTTGATCACACAGGAATTAATGGTATTGAAAAAGTGGTTTGATATAAATAAATTATCATTGAATCTAGATAAAACCAGATTTTTGTTATTTGGTCACCAAAAGAATAACATCAAAATTGACATTTGTGTGGATAATGTATATTTAGAAAGAGTAAATGAAATAAAATTTCTTGGTGTGATCATTGACCGTAAGCTCTGTTGGAAGCCACACATCACTTATGTTCAGGGGAGATTGGCACGGGTCGTTGCCATCCTGGGGAAAGCAAAGAAGATGTTGGATCAGAAAGCCTTGCACATATTATACTGAGCTTTACTTCTGCCATACATGAGTTACTGTGTAGAGGTCTGGGGAAACGCATACAAAAGCAACAAACAGACGATAACTATAATACAGAAAAAGGCCATTAGAATAATAAATAATGTGGGGTACAGGGACCATACGAATGCACTCTTTGTCGAAATGCAAACTATTAAATTACAAGACTTGGTGAAGCTCAAAACAGCGCAAGTAATGCATAAAGTAAAATAAATTGCTTCCAAAAGAAATCTGTTTATTGTTCAAAGAAAGAGAAGGTGGGTATAACTTTCTTCTTTCTTCTTCTTTAGGTCTTAATTTCGGTTTATAGCATTAACATAAAATTTTTCTTTTCAAACCAAACAACAATATTAACAACTTGAATTTAAACCAAAAAAGGAATAGGCAGAAGCAATGCTTATTTTAGCCTACCCTATTTTCCACCTAAGATACATAACCAATATACATTTCTTTTATTTTCCCCAATATAAATAACCACAATGAAAATTCATTAATGTCTATACATACTTTTCATACCCTGTAAGTATGTGACACTTCACACCTGCTTTAAACTTTAGTAAGGAAGTACATTTCTTCAAATCATCATCTAACTCATTCCACAATTTCACACCAACAACGGAAACATCTTGATTTCACATTAGTTCTGGCTTTTACACATTCAAACATAAATACACCTCTGAGATTATAATGATCATCTCTTGGTTTGAAATAAACTTTTATGCAATTTGGGATATTATTATTAACTACTTTATGAAGAATCTCTAAGATTTTTACTTTAATAATATCTCCTAATTTTAGCGTTTTAGTTTGACTAAATAGATTATGGGTTGGTTCGAGGTATCCCGATTTATTAGCTATTCTAATCGCCTTTTTTTGTAATTTAAATACAGTCTCAACACACGTTTTACCTGCATTTCCCCAAACCTCTGCACACTAAGACAAATAAGGCATAACTAAAGAGGAATAAATCAAAAACAAGGCTTTTTTTATTTAGTACATCACTAGTTTTATTAAGTATAGCAATAGATTTAGACACTTGCTGTTTGATATATTCAATATGTGGTCTCCAACTGAGTTTACTATCAATAATCACACCTAAGAATTTAGTTTCATATACTTGTTCAATTGGGACTCCATTTAAATACAGCTTAGCACCGTCATTGTCCCTGTTCCCTGAAAATATCATAAATTTGGTTTTATTTTCATTTAGTGATAGCTTGTTGTAATCAAACCATTTTTTCATTGAACCCAATTCGTTTTCAACCTCTTGTAATAATTTACTCATATCTTTACCGATACAAGAGGGAACTTAAGAGGGAAACGGAATTTAAAAATACAAAGTGCTAGAACAACTTTAAAAACTGTCAATCGCAGTCGCAGGAGTTAAATTATGGAACAGTCTAACAGAAGAGATGAAGGAAAGTAAAAACATAAACCAGTTTAAAGTTAAATTTTAAAAACCTAATTTTTAATAAGTATAAGAAAGAAGAAAACAGGGTTAACCCAGGACGGTAATGTGGCTGGTTATGCTGTTGTGCTTCTTTTTCGGTGTTTTTTGGTTTGTTTGGATTTTCTTTTTTTTCTCCGTAACTGGTGAATCTGCAGGTTTACGCATTCTCTGTTTTCCATATGTTTTTTTTTTCATATGTTGTTTGTTTAAGATTGAAAGAAAATTAAATGAATAAGAGGTCAAACTTGGGGGCAGGGACGAATAAGTAAATACTCCTGCCTACTCCTTTTCAGACAAATAATGGAATTGTGTTTGGTAATGATGCACGTGTGAAATGTTTGAAATAAAAATGAACTGAACTGAGTACAAAACACGGAGCTAACATGGATGGAAATGACGGGAAACGTGGGTTCGGAGGTGGCGACCACATGAAGAGGTGGAGGAGAATGGAGGACACGTTTTTCTTTAGATGGGTGGCGTTATTCACGTTTCTCCTCGTTTCTCTTAGAGCCCATCATTAAGCCTGTGAGACACAGGCAGTTCACTCTGATGGAACAGGAGTTGCCCGCCACCGTCTACGACATGGAGTGAGTGTCTCGCTAGAAAATGGATGTGAAATTCTAAATACTGATAATTACATTCACTGTGAAAGTTTATTTTGATAGATTTCTGAGATGTGAGCTCTTTTTAACACAGATTTCTTGCTGATCTGATGGATGGCCCTGAGCTGATCCGCAACGTCACCCTCTGTGGTCACCTCCATCATGGAAAGGTTTGCTTGTGTTTGGTCTCATTGCTACGTTTGAGCTGGTGTAGGGAGACATGGCTACGTTTTAAACTCGGCTCATTTAAATCTAACTAACGTGGTCTTGTCCTCCAGACTTGTTTTGTGGACTGCCTGATTGAGCAGACACACCCAGAAATCAGAAAGAGAGATGATGTTGATGTAAGTGATGGCTCCGCTGTTTCAGCATCTTTTAAAGTCTGCGTGTAAAACTGGTGACCGAACACATTTTTGAACTTTTCCAGCTGCGGTACACGGACATTCTCTTTACAGAGCAGGAGGTACGTTTTCTTGGTGCGCTGAGCAAACGTGATCCGCTTCACTTGTTTCTGCACGTTTTAGTGGATCTTATAGTTTTGTGTTTGTTTTCTAGAGAGGAGTTGGCATCAAGAGCACTCCGGTCACAATGGTGCTGCCTGACTCCAGAGGAAAATCGTACCTCTTCAACATCATGGATACTCCAGGTGACTCTGTCTGAATAAGCTTTACGCCAGGGACCCACCGGCCGTCGAAGCGCCGGGAGGCGATGCGCTCACGAAATTCGGCCGCTGCTCCTCAGTTCAGACCAGACGCTTGTTTCTCCGCTCCGGTCGAGGCGCGCCTCGTAGATTTCTTTTAACCTCTTGGTGTTTCCATATCCTCTCTGCTCTTTTCCTCTACACCCCCCTCCCCCTTGCTGTTTGTGTGTGTGTGTTTGTACGTGTGTGTGTGTGTTTGTACGTGTGTGTGTGTGTGTGTGAACCTGCCTCTCTGTCCTGTTTGCTCCGGTTGAAAGACACCCAAAACCACACCCCCTTCACGTGGTCACACACACACACAAGTTCGCTGTGTGTGTATGTGTGTGTTTGTACGTGTGTGTGTGTGTGTGTGTGTGTGATTAGGAACACATTTGACTATGGCGGAATTGTATTTTGAAATGCTTTATTTTGTTAAATTTACCGGCCTGCCTCTTATGTCTAGGTTTGACTTCCTGCCAGAATTGAGGCGGTTCAGCCGCGGCTCGTGAAAAAATAGAGCAGACGCCGAAACGATCGCTGCACTGGGCGGGCTGGAGCGCCGGCGCTTCGCGGCACTTCGGCGGCCCATGTGGCCTATAGAATAGGATAACAAGGGCGCCGAATGAAGGCGGTCCCCGTTTTGCGGCACTTCGGCGACCGGCGTGTCCCCGGCGTTACAGCGACCTTTCAACTCCACCCTGAACATCACTGAGCATCCATCTCACAAAACCAATACCTCCCTGGGGTGCGACTGCTAACGGGATCCACGGCTCATAATTGACTACGTTTACATGCAGCCAATATCCGGGTTATGATCGGGTTAAGGTCGGGATTCGAGTTTGAGTTGATCAGAATAACCCGTTTACAAGCATAAATAGAAAGAGTTACCTCTAACTTGCATAACCCAATTTAAATGCGGACGTTGGGGTAGCGTCAGGACGTGTGGACTACGTCCAGACGCAATATGCCTCATTTCCGGTTCTTCTTGTTCCGGTATCCGTGAAAACAACAACATGTTTCCCAGTTCGGAAGAGATAGCGACCGCGTTTGTTTGCGTTTTAGTTTCCTCGTCACTCCAAAAGTGTGGTGCTGTGCCGCGACTCGCCATGTTGCTCCCCAACTTGTTGTTTACTTCCGGTGTTCTGGCGCATACAAGACGTCTCGCTACTCAAAAGACCAAGATTCCTTGCGAACAGAGCATGCGCAGAACACACGCTTTGATGGGGATATCCCGACATGCGTTTACACAACCAAACATTCAGGTCAGAAAAGGGTTACCCCAGGTGTAGTAACCGGGTTTTTAAAAACCCGGTTATGAGCATATCCGGGTTTTTGGCGGTGTTTACAAGGACCTGCGGAACCGGGTTATTGTGAATATTCGGGTTTTTAAAGGGTTACTGGCTGCATGTAAACGCACTGATTAAAGCCTTAAAAGTTCTTAAGAAATTACAAATAATCCTTAAATTCAGGGTTCAAGATCTTAAAAGTACATGTTTTATGTTGTTTGTGTTATTTATCAATATTTTCCATTCCAGTAAAGGTTTGGACAGAAAAATTAGCAAAGTGCCCTTTTTCGTTCTGAGAGCGTACGGTCTGATATTTGATCATAGCGGCCTTAAAAGGTCTGAACTGCCTTCCAGCTGCCCCGTGCTAATGACAGATCTTGAAAACGGTGTTTGCTAAAGTGTGTCCAAAATGGTCAGAGGGGTTGTTAATCTCTAGTGAATCTCAGAGCCTCTCTCTTTTGTTTCTGACGTTTTAAACATGTTCAGCTTTCCCCTTAAGCTCTTTCAGCTACATCAGCCTCGTCTCAGTTGCACCTAAATGTGGGGAAGCTTTGGGAGAGGCTGTAAACCCAATTATAAGTGGAGACATAATAATAACACTTTGTGGCGTAACGATGAGGGAAAGATCTGCCGGTATCGGTAAAAGTTAACCAGTAGCAGGAACCGATACCTGTGCAGTTGCCTGAAAGAAGCTTCACTGTAACTTTCATTTCTGTTCACCTAATAATTTAGTTTTGTGATCATTTCTAGTAATAAATTGTATTTTTTTTATCCACCTCACAGACTTTCCTGTTGAAAGCAGAGAAGAAAATAAAACATGTATCTCAATTCATTGAATTTTTTGTGCGGTAGAAGTATCGGTAATCGGTATCGGCCAGTACTCAGATCCAAGTATCGGTATCGTATCGGTCTGGGGAAAAAGTGGTATCAGTGCACCCCTGGTTAAATCAGATACCCGTATGTCCTGACCGTGTTTAAAACGTGAGATTCCTGCTGAAAAAGAGCAATCCTGCGCTGCCAGCGGTCGCCACCCAGTGACATGCTGGATTAGTGTCGTGTGTTCAGACCAGGGATGGGAGCATGTGGGTTACTTAAACGATGGAAGAGTTTAAAGATCGACTAAAAGTCAAAACATAAAATTCTTTTACAATTTAACAGCATATTTAGTAGGGATGTGAATCTTAGAGCAACTCACGATTCGATTCCAATTCTCAGGGTGCCGATTCGATTCAGAATCGATTCTCAATTTAAATCGATTCACAATCAGTATTAACAAAGAGTGTCAGCTCCAGGATGAACTACTTTGTTGTACAAGTTAGTTAAAGCTATGGGACGTTTTTATTAGACTTTAAACCGGTCGTGCTCCAAAAATGCTAATTTACAATGAAAAATAAAGTGATTCTAAAACTGTAAACAGAAACAATCTTTTGACCAAAAGGCAACATTTTTTTTGCTTACCTTGTAAAATATAACACATCTGTAGTTACCTAACAGTAGCTTTGAAAGTAATACGGTCAAATACTTTTCAAGTATGTGTAGAAACAAGTTACATGAGTAATCCTGAGTACTCATTTATCAACTTAGAAAATAAATATGAGAATATCTCAAATTTCTGAGTATGGAAAAAATGACATTCGAGTGCCCTCTTATCAGCAGATTCAAACAAATCATCTCAGTTTATGGGAGCACAAAAGTAATCAGAGTACTGACTCTCCTAACAAAGATCACAAAAGTGCATCTCAGACCTGTAACATGCCAAACATTTGAGTTCTTGGAATAGATTCTGAATCTTTGTGAATCGATTCTGAATCTTTATAAATAAGAATCTCGATTCAGGCTTGAATCGATTTTTTTCAGCACCTCTAATATTTAGCCTCATTTTAGTTGATTCTGTTCATTTTTGTCCAGGAAATGACAAAAACGTGACATCAGTTTTGCCTTTTTTCCTCAAAGGTCACGTGAACTTCTCTGACGAGGTCACATCCAGCATGAGGATCTCGGATGGGGTTGT